CAAATTAAAAAAGAATCTGTAATTACATATACAAGCTTTACTGAATATTCTGAAATACATGTGGTCATGATTCCTTGACAAGCTGCATTATTTCTTTCTCTTAGTAACTGATACCCCTGTTGGCATGGCCATGTGAACCACTCATTCAGCTACAGACAATTAGGGTTTGCAATGTATTCCAAGATGTGGTAAGGAGCAAGAGCACTTCATTCAGGTAATAAGAGCCATCGAGTCTATGTTATTCACTTGCCCAAAAGTATGACCTTCTTAGGTCCATGCAGCTTGCCTTGATTTTCTGGTTTCTTGTCTCAGGTGAAGATACAAGGACAAAAATTCAAGCACAGATAATGGAAATCAAAAACTGATGCAGACAGTTCTTCTGGTGTGTAAAAGTTTGAGATCCTTTTTGTTATTGTTCCTTGAAGCTGTCAGATATCCCAGGTGATTTATCCGATATGGTAAACCATTCTGTCCTCTCTGAGTGCCTGAGACCCCTGAGAAATAAATAATAATTTAAAAATAATAGCATCCTATTCTGCTTTTTTATTTTATTTTGTGTGTTTGTTTGTTTTGTTTTGTTAAAGAAAAAAAAAGGCTTTTAAGAAGCTTTTTCAAACATCCTGCACATTGGGCCTGCATGTCATGCAGTAGCTTACCTGTATTTCTCAGAGTTAAATTCATGTATAAAAAGCTTCTGGACAGTTTAAAGGAGATGTAAAGGATATTGAGAATATGAATAAAGGGTAGATATTCATTGTTATTCTCCTGGACTTTTCTGCTGTCATTGAACATTGTTGTCTGTAAGATAAATCCTCTAAGAGCAGTTGCAGAGAGCAATGTATCTACTGAGAAGTGATTTAAAATTGCTCTTCAACTGCTGGATACCTTGTTTGTAGAGTCCCACAAAAATAAATTCTCATGCTGGTCCTTCTCAGCAGTTACGTGCAGTTACAAGATGACTGCTCTGTTGATGTGGCTTCAAGTGACTTTCTGGTAAAGGTAAGATGTAGCTCCTTCCTTGGAACTAGGCCAGGGCTGAGCACTTGGTAAACACTTGGGAAGTAACAGCTTTTATGACTTTATGGTCCAGAATTCTTGTTTTGGTTTGTGTGTGTGGTGGTTTGTGTTTTGTTTTGTTTTTTTTAACTTGGCTTTCTACTAACAGCAATGTACATATTAAAAAGGAAGAGCTATTATAGATTCAAAGCATAATAAAACCTAGAATGTTTTGCCCTCTCAAAACAAGATACTTCACAGTGCACAATTTCTCTCTGCAGAGAAAATGAGAGAACAGACACTACATGACAGTTTATTCATATTCCTTGGGGTACTGTGATGATAAACATTGTACATGCTGAAGAACTTGTATTACACTAGACTAAAAAGTGGAAATAAAGATGGTCCAATATGTTTCTTTATTCCCAGAATTAGAAGCCCTTTTATTTCTTTTGTACATTAAAATGTTTTCTTATAGCTGAAGACAAGTCTGCAGAGTCTCCTAAATCAGTTACAGACATTCTCAGAATGAATCCAAGTACTGTTTGAAGACTGCCATGGAATACGAGTGGACACGTTCCTGCAAAGCCGCAACTTTTCTAAACTAAAACCAGAGTTTTCTGAAAACTTATTTTGGGAAAGGTGCTCATATATTTATGATTAAAAGCCATTTTTGTTTATAGTTTATGTGCAAAAAAGGGTCCATAGATGGTGTGGAAGCCATTCTAAAGCTCACTGTCATTTTTCATCTTGTCCTTACTTTATCCTGAAATTTGAACATAGACTGTATAAGATGGAGGATGGCGCTAGTTTCGATCCAGAGTAATTGAAAATCACTAAAAAAGTTAAACTAACACAATGCCACTGCAAGCAAATGAGATCCTACTTGCTCGCCTTCTTTCACTGTAAAAAGAGGCTTCTAGGAGCTGTCTTCCTAACAAATGGGGGAAACTGCCAGTGACAATGACTTAGAAGTATAGGCTAGACATTTCTGCCTTTTGAGACCTGCCCCTCAGGAGGGCAGCTGGACTGTGACTGCTTGTCTTTATGTGGCTTGGGGATGAGTATGTCCAGATCAGAGTTTGTAAAACTGGCTCCAGGCCTCAAGCCTGGCCTGGTTTGAGTGTATTGGAAACAGTGGAGTATGGCAATTACAGGTTTTTCCTACTCCCTTCTGATGTGTTTCTGAAACCAGTTAATTGCATTTGAATGTTTCTGTTTCCACTAGTATTAAAAAATAAGAAATGAGAAATTCAACAAAGCCTGAATTGCTGCTTATGGAAAGATCGCCTTTGATTTGAAGATGTATTAGAGCACCATATCTTGAAAGCATTCACTCCTTGAGTGCTTACTGGTGCCAGACAGACTTCCCTTAAGATTCAGTTGAAAAGACCAAGGCTAAGTCATATCTGTCTATTCAATTCTGGCAGTATCTTTGGAATAACTGATTTACCTCAGCAGAGATAAGTAGCATTGATAAAACCAATATTTTTTGATTAGTAAACCAGTAATTGCTTAGAAACTGAATGTACTGAAAACACATTTTGTTTGTTTTGTAAAGCCGGCAAACACTGCTACCACCTCTCTCTTAAAATCACCTGCAGTATTTAGTAAACATAAACAAATAGTTCCCACACAATTTTTTTTGTTATCAAACTGCATCCAAACCAACATGCTTAGAGTTTGCCTTAATTCTAAGGGAGGAAAAAAAATCTTTTGTTTAAATAAGGGCTGTCTCTGTTTGTTGGTAATATTTTTTTATCGTCATTTTTCTTGTGCAAATAGCAACTTCGCTTTTATTTATAAGGCCTGATTCTGTAAAGGTGGAGTGCTGTTCCTGAGCTATTTTGTGCACTTCAGGCTTGCACACGGGCATTCTGCACTCCTCAAGTCTGAAGTCTTCAAGCCTTGCATTAAAAGCTTAAAATGTTAGCACGTGCCGAGACTCTTCGTGAGTCAGTCTTCATTTTATTTATGCTGTGTAAGACCAGCAAAATGGTTAGGCAGAACCTAGATGCAACAGAGAGGAAGCAGGTAATGTGAGATTAAGCGTTTCACATTATTAACAAGGCCTTTGTCTTTGACTTTGCAGAAAGGTGTGTCTGTCTGTACCCCAGTGCAGATGTGCAGTGTAAGAAGTGTTCAGTTTTCGTTTGGAAGCTTCAAGTACACAGGCTCAGAAGAAGAAAAACAAACTTCCCTAGAAATACTGCGTAGCTTGTTGGGATCTTTATGTTCCATGCAAATAGCAAAGCATGCCTTTACAACTTTGCAGATGGCCTTTTCGCAGTAGTATCTTCGGATTTATTTTTCTTTTAGAGAACGGGGACAATGGAGATTTGTAACAGGAAATACAAGTATTACTAAATTAAAATCTGTTTGGTACCTTTCCTGGCTGTGTGGAAATGGTTAGTATTTCTCCTGAAAAGCAAGGGCAGTATGTTTGGCTGCCTTGTGCTGTTACTGGAACACATTATTTTGTTACAATTATTTTCCCTATGTACAGTAATTCTGATGACACTTCCATAGTAGTGATGGTAACAGTGTTATAGATTATTCACAGTTGGAATGATTATGATGCCATAGTTATAAATTTTTTAGGAAAAAGTATGTAAGATACTTTTTTTAATGTCTTTTTGTAAAAAATAAGGAAATTGTTATCGTTTAAATAAGACAGAATTTATAATCTTACACCTTAAGGGATGTACAAAAGAGATTCTCTGTAATAATGTGAAAGTACCCAAAGTAGATCAGACACGGAGAAGCTACATTAACATTTTTGTAAATGTCTCTTGGCTTCTGTGGCTCTTATACCCCATAGTGCTAGTGTTTTACAGTCCTTCCATTGTCCATTACTGCAAACACGTCCAGATGAATTCAGCATTTAATGTTAAAAATCTTATAACATGCCAGTTTGATTTGTAGCCCTTCATATCATGGAATGCTAATTAAAATCATATTTTTGCATATGTCATGCCTTTCATGTACATATGCAAATACAGTCTATTGCCTTTCAGCTATTAGTAATTAACTTTATGAAGGACAGCTGTAATACATAATTAACAAAAATGTTTGCAAGCCCTTTTCACACTGAAAGTTGCAGCAGTAAAAATTCTGCTTATCGAGAGAACCATTTTAGTTTGAAGCTTCAGTCTGATATCTAAATTGTTTGAAGCAGTCACATGGCATAATTAAATTGATGTTATGGTCTTATCAGCAGAAGAATGGTACTTGATATGCTCCTATCAGTTTCATTATATATGTCGCCAAAATTAAAGTAAATTAGCTGTATTTTGTTTAGTAGATATATAATGCCAGGTAGTATACAATTTGTTGCTGCTGTTGATGCGTTGAACAATGTCTTGCCAGTTTGAACAATCTGCTTCTTCAAAGCGTATTCATGAAAATGTGCTTCATCTTTTCTATCCTTTTTTTTTCACAAGGCTATAAAATAACTAAGGCTATTAACTTGTTTCCATGTATATCTCTTTAAATAATTAATACAGTGAAGTTTGACCAGACATAAGCAGTGATTAAAGCAGCTAATCTTGCTGTATTTTTGTGTTTCTCATTAAAAACAATGGAACTACTTGTATGAAGAACGGTTGCATGATGGGCCTATTAGGGTTACATAAATTAAAAGTGTAACTAATACTGTATTAGTTTATAACATGAGAAAATGTTATTTAGGTAAAATAGGCTATCTTATCAGTGTATTGTCTGAGATGTTCTAATTTGCAAAGGGAAGCAGAAACAGGTTTTCCATTCTTTGACCAGCAACGTATGGTTGTGGTTACTTGCTTGTAAGAATTAACCAAGTGACTGCAATCTGAAGAAAACATTGAAAATATGGAGTCTCAGATTTAAGTCATAACCTAGCAGGGGTTTTTAAAGCCCACCTTTCATAAAATATGCTCAAGTGCATGCTCAAAAAAGAAAAATACTGTTTTTGTTAAAAAAAGTGTTAATAAAAAAATAATCTTCCTGGGTTTTCTTTTTGGTAGGGTGGCGTTTGTGATGAAGAAGCATTTGAACACTCATTTACTGGGCAAGCATGGAGTTGGCACACCCAAAGAAAGGTAAGCTACTTCAAAGTTCTTTCTCATTTTATATTGTACAATATGTGAAGACCTTATATGCTGTATTTAGCTTGCCCAGAATGAAGTCACCTGGGCTTTTAATTCCACCTTAACTACAGAGGGAGCTAACATGCCTTAAGTGCTCTTCAGCACGGTGCATGACATGTCTCTGGGTGTCAATGGAAAAATTGCTGCAGAAAGCAATACAAAAGGTGTAGGATTTGTACCCCTTGGGGCAGTTTTTTGACAGGTGATGCTATTTTCTCAAAAATTCCATAGTTGTAACTGTCCCTCCAAGTACAAAATCAAATATTACTACTTTTTTGTTTGTTTTTTCCCTTGCTGTTCTTGATGCTCATAGCCATTTATAAGATGACTTTCTGAGATTTATGTTGATCACTGAGTTTAAACCCACAGAGGAATCAAAAAGAAAATTTCCTCTCTTCCTGCAGTTGGGCAGGAACAAAGATCTGGTGTTTTGACTAATTTTAAAATGAATTCCTTTTACTTTTTTCAATCTGTTTACAGTTACTTATTTTGAAACTTTTTTTTGTCAGCACGTTATTTTTTTCCTGTGGTTTAACATGTAACTGTGTTTACAAACTAGATGGCACTATTTGCAGATTAACAGATCTTGCTTCAGGTTTTTTAGGTACATTGTGGCATTGGTATTGCTATTTCATTGAAATTTTGGGGTAACTACAAACTTGATGTTTTTTGGATAGCCAAAATATTGTGTATTTTCTTTCAGCCTGGGTAGATGGAGGTATCCTACCTACAGGGTACGTTGGTGGGTACTTGATACGTTTTCAAGTATTACTGCAGTTTTGATATGTAAGGAAAGGAAAATAAATTATAGCTAACAGTTATAGGAGAATGCTGCAAAACTCTTTCTGGGTCATGTTTGTTTCTTGTTAGACCCTGGAATCGGTAGTTGATTAGACCCTTTCCTCCCAAGTTCGTCATACTTAAATCACTGGATGACCTAAGAGTAGAGTTTTAAATTAACACACCATATACACCTTATGTTTGACTAAGCATCTATTTAGGTGGTGCTTATATTTTTAATGAGATTTCCTGTAACAAAGTGCTTAACCAGAATTTTGCTAACACATAGTTACTTGGAGAGTTTTGAGATATTGTTTCATCTAAAATATAGAATGATGCATTGAAAGAACAATTACAGTTTCATCAAAGTAGATATCATATTACAGTTTATGGTGGTTATCTTTTATCATAGCACAACAATTACGAAAAATGTTTTACTCTGGTGGCTTGTTTTGTGACTGGAAGCATTCAATACCAATATGTTATTTTACAAGGGGGTACTTATTGTATTATCATCATCAATACAACATAGAGATAACTTGCATTACCCTAGTGAATATGTGCTCAATAAAGGATACATACAATAGATTTCCAAGTGTAGTATCTTAGCCTGAGAGGCATATTTTTAGCTATCATCATCTTGAAATGAATTCCTAAGCAAGCAGGATGCTATAAACTAAACCGGCTGTTGCTTGCTTTTGTGTGTTTCTTCAAGAAAGCCTTCTGACTGTTTCCATTTTCCCCATTTCTTTCCATGTGTCCTCAAAGGCTTTGTGGCTGGCTTGCTAGCGTGGTGTGAAGAGGAGTAGGAGAGGGGTTCCTTTCTGAGGTGACAGCTTCATAGTCCTTGTAGCCCTGGCTGCCTGAGGAGCAGAGAAGCCAGCTAAGGCCTGCAACCTCCCTGCCCTGTCTGCTAGCGCAGGCTGTTGCAGCTTTACCCCAAAGCCAGCATAAACAAGTAATATTGGAGAGACTTCATACTCTCTTCTGAAATTTATTCATCCATCTTTTGAATATTTCTTACCTAGAATACCTTTTCAGATGGCACTTCAGCTTAACATAGTGCAGTGTCAAATGCTAGTGGCAGAGCTACAACAGCAATGTAATTTCCTAATAGCAGTCCCTTGCTGGTAATGGTTGATGTTAAGCCACATGGTCTAGTGCAGAAAATACGAAATCACTGTTGCTTTCCTTTCCACTTTTCCCTTCCTATTATCAGAGAATTTGATGCCTTTTAATGTCTTTAGGAACCAAATAAGTCCTTCTTCAGTACGTTAAACCATCACATTGGATATAAAGATATTATAAATTAAGTTACAAAGTTTTCTTACCTGTTCAAAACATTAATGCCTTGTTTATAATTTTGCAAGCTTGCTATTTTTTAATTTCTCAGGATAATATAATCAGTTTATTCTTTGTTTCGAATTTGATTCTGCCCTCTGATACAGTGCATATTATAGCAAATACTAATAGAAGCTAGCTAAATAGGCTGTGACAATTAAATTAATAATGCATTTTATTTGCAAGTGTTTAGTCTTCATGGTTTGACTGATATATGCAAAGATGGTAATTTATTAAAAGTAAATTCATGTAATTGTACTACAGAATTTGATGAACCAAAAAAAGTTGTCAGCATGACTATCATCAAAAACAGAAAATTGAAATAAGTTCAAAAGGGTGCTTGAAAAAAATAGTTATCACCCATACACCCTGAGATTGGTCCCTTTTAACAAACTTCTCAGAAAGGAATTTCTGCTGATAAACATTGAGATAGTTCTGAAAGGGAGAGGAAAAATGCATTTACAATTTAGTATGCAGTACTGAAGTAGTGCACCTTGTTCTCTTTAGTTTTGCAATAGCCGTAACTATTGCATTTTTGTATGCAGAAAACGGAGGTGTTACGGAGGCTGTGGAAATGTTTGCATTTGCAGATACAGGAAACAAGTATAATTCATAATAAGATTGCTACTGAAACATCTTTTGGTTTGAGTTTTAACTTTATGGTTTTTTTTAAGGCAAAATTGGTTTTAAGGGGAAAATACTGTGAAAAGTGTAATTTTGCAGATCAGCAAAGTTAAAAAACATAGCCTTGTAGTGAAATGTCTGCACATTTCAGCCACAAAAACCCTACCTAGTCCATTATGATCATTACCATTTAATAGCTAACTCAAAAGTGGAATGTTTTAACACAGAAATTCCTCTAAGGTATTTTTTTCTGTTATTGGAACTGTGATACTGATTTATTGTCAACTTGAATGTGTCTCAAAACTGGCATGTTATGTGTTAAGTCCAAGGCCAGTACATATTTGGTACTTCAGTGTCAGTAATCTTCATGGGACCTATAACTATATCTTATTGGCAGGATAAATCTTGGCTACACCTTTATTGTGTCTAGGAGACAATGTGGTTGAGGACAAGGTGAATGCATTAGTAGTGTTAATGGTTCTGGGTTCTAATTCCTGTTACATCATTATGTTACTTAGGTGTAAATTGTGGTAAAACAGAGCAGAGACGTTTCACTATTGACTGTAAGATACACACACACACACACACATATAAAAGTACTAGCAAGAAAATAAAAATAAAATCATTCATCAGCAAGACTGTATTTTACCACTGTTGAGCACAACTCTGGATTTAAATGTATGTTTCATAAGAAAACTTTGTAAGTATTCTTTAGAGATATTTTCTTATCTGATACGTCTGTTATAACTATTTTCCATATAAGCTTACCACGGAAAGGCGTTTACTGACACTTGTTTAATTACCTCACCTTCCTTATGAATTTTAAATAATGAGTTGCCTCTGAAATAACTTCTTGCATATGCGTAATCCCATTGAGTCAAATAGGATCATTCATATATATAAAATTACTTGGAAAGCAAATACTTGCTGAACTGGAATCAGCATTACAAAACATTTTCTGTTAAATTCATTAATCATATGTTTAAGATTTTGTAAGGTTCTGCATTTTGTTTCATGTACTTTAAAAATGGGATCAGTGTTACACTGCTGGTAACATCATGTGAAGAACATGATTTTCAAATGATCTTAGTTGATTGGAAAAGCTGTGTAACGATTTCACCTCGAGAGCAACACCTATAAGTAAATACCTATTACTGTGTAACAGCAGCTTAAATATATTTGAGATGCTCTTTTAAACAATGTTGGAAGATAGCATATTGCTAAAGTGTGTGTATTTTTTTACTCAACTGCTTTGAAGTAAAGGAATTTCCTAGGTGTCTGTTTTTTAATGTGCTTGCATACATCCGCATGAATTTTGGAATATCAAATGCTACTAATGTGTGGTATAAATATCATAAAATATACAAGACTCCATGGTATGTCATTGGAAGGCATTGTTGAGATCAGAAAGAAAAATAGCCAGGAAAAATGAATGGGGGTTTGATGTTCTGCGTACTCTCTAGAAAAGCCATTTTGATTGCACTATCCTGTTTCCAACTTACAGTTAATCGAGTCCATCAATCTGACCCTCTTCTGTTTAATTGAACTGTTAATCCTTTTTTTGAAACAGTTTTCTTGGAGAGAAATTTCTGATAGTAACTGTTTGTTATGCCTATTTTGGGTAATACTACCTTGTACCTGCAAAGTAAAAAGCTCCAGTTGAAATTACAGCTGATTTTGGAAGAACAAGTGGCAAAATTCAGTGATGTGTTATGCAGGTGTATATATGCAGTCATCTTGTAATAACTTTCTCCTGTTTTGAAGGAATGAATTCTGCCTCACAGGAAGCGTTCCAGTTAGAGATATTAGTGGTACATACGAATACACAGAGGAGAGGCTACCTGTAACTACCAGGGGGTAATGTGCTGAGTCTTGCCTTCAGGCTTTGTCGTCACGTTTTACTGCTTCTTGCAAATAATTGTGAGGTTTTCAACTGAAGCCTAACATTACTAGTTTAACTGGATAGGAATGAAAAACTTAATTGATCGTTTCCTGCTTTTGGCTGAAAAAGAATCTTGGAGGGTTACAGAATCATTTTTCGGAAAAGCCCTAAGGAAAGAAATGTACCTTTTCCTTGAAGTATTCACTAGTCAGAAGCTTGTGATGAGAGGAGGGGAGTGCAAAGGACTCAACATTTTAGCATTGGTTAGGAGCTAAAATTTTACCCAAGATCTATGTTAAGCTTTCAGTATTTTGGAGGCTTACTT